ATGTTTATCCTTCCGTATCCATATGTGTGAATGCGAGTGTGTGCCTGCCTCATACTAGCACAGACAGGTGCAGGCATGAGTTTTTTCCCAGCATGGCAAAACATCATTATCTGCAGAGGTGGTGTGTTTTCCTCCCTGAGACATTGTGTACTACAAGACAAGAGACAAGCAGGGACAGAGACAAACCACAAGCAGAGGGAGGTAAAGAGAAAGGGGGGTGGATGGCGGGAGTCGGTTGTTCCAGCATGGCAGACAAGTGCCGCACTCGTAGACAGAGGCTAAGTAGGAGCAAGTTGGCCCACAGTCAGATTTGGGCAGCCGGGGTGCTTAATCATCCCGGGCTTGGTGCGAGAGCTGACAGGTGAGTTATGAGCGGCCGCTACAGGTAGGACCCCAGTCTTCCCACTGCTTACTATGACCTTCGCTCTGGCCATAAATAATGCAGGTACCATAAAAAACTGATTTAGGATAACTGGGCCGGCCCTGTCTTGGTGTGGGTTAATCTTGCCTTGGTGTGGACAGCAGGGAAGGCACTTTGCAGAGTACTGGAGGCTGTATGATATATGTTTATATAAATACTTGGGTTCAATCTCTAGCTCCTTATCGAGGCCACTTTTCTGACCTCTCAGTGTTTTGTCAGTCTTGGTCTTAGCCACTGTTTGATGTTGACGATTCGCTGCCTGTCTAAAGCTGTTGTTACGTCTGTCTCTGCAGTGACAATGCACATCCAATCATGCCAGGCTGCATTAGCTGCAGTGTGTGTGTCCTCTCAGCAACGATCTGTTTGTACATCCACCCTTCACATTGATGTAGCCCTGGTCGACATTTCAATCCAATCTCAGGTAAATGCTGACGTAAGAGGCAGCAACATGGACCAATAATGTCGCTCATATACTTGGGCCCTGTGGTTGAGAGTCCCTTAAAGAGAACATTTTGTTTCATTTTCAGGTCCATATTTGTATTTAGTGCCTCTACTGGGACATGTCTCCATGCTTTTATGTGCTGCAGTATCTCTTTTCACCCTCTGTCTGAAACCAGAGACTTGTCTAGTGTGTCCATATAAAAAGTGGAAGCTTCCTTCACAGATTATATCTATACTTTACTGAATACAAAACATGCATCCCATAAGTTGCAATCGTTCAGTTTAACCTGGCATGTACTGTGTAGACACAGACAAGCAAACAGGAACACGGTAATGATTTGGCAGATTTGAGCAATATGTCTTCTGAGCCTGATGCCCTGATGACAGTAGGAATATTCCTCTGACGGTTTTAGAAAGCTGCAGTGATGGAGGATGTGCCTGGCTGGGTAGCGAAAACCATTTAAGCCGATGAGACATTTGGGATGCTGCCATATTAACAATGACAATCTTCTTGAAATAGGTTGTCATTTACAGACGGTAGTTTTCAAACCTTTGCATGTCTCTGTTACATTTAAAAGTTACTGCAAGTATTTACCTAGTGAATGTATTTTATGACATCTGCATTAACATAAACCTCATTCATCTTTAATTAAAATGCTGACTAGATCCTGATTCAAGACCTTCATGTTATTTTACAGCATAGATACATCCTATATCACATATGTAAATAGTTAATATGTGGTGGGTTCACTTTACTGCCCTGTAATGACATTATACCCAGGTAACCTTTCATCAACCTTGTGCTGTGCGCTGAGGCAATACTCAGAGACAGTTATTGTTAGTTGAGAGTAAGCTCTAATGAGTAATCGCAATTATTTCATCATCCATTTTCTATTAGAGAGGAGTTGTTTTAATTAACAGATTCATTAAGTTAGTTCATTAATTTCCCCCCAGGTGCCCCGGATCCTCGGGAGGATTTCAAATCAATTCTGCTGCCTATTATTTAATATCAGAGCGAACAGTCGCTGAGATAAAGGGCAGGTTTGCATCTGGTTTTATTGCCCTGTGAGTTAGATTTAATGACGGCCAATAGAATAAAATAAAAATATGGTGGATGTTTTTTGTTAGGAGGGATCTAACTACCTAGGCTTCATACATAAAGCTACACATTAACCCCTGAATTTAACCACTTCTAAATCCCATGGGTATATTTTACTGCAGTGTTTCCCGACAGTGTGCCAATCAAAATCCTCTCAGCATGCTGCTTAACTCCTTACTGACCATTGCACATCATTTCAGTGCATTTGCCGCGTGTTGCAGTCCTCTGCCTGCCCTCCAGCTGCATACAGTATCTGTCAGCCTGACACTTCTCTCAGCTGATGTATGCCGGATGCTATCTATCATTGCCACGACATTGCTTAGTCCCTTCGCTTCGACACATTTGACAGACAGTGTCACCTATTAACGCCATCAGCTAGCTTGTTATCACTGTATCTGCAGTATTTCAATGCTCAGTATACGGTTAAGTCACTGGAATATAGATCATTTTTAGTTCTTAGGATTATCTTCATGAATATTACACCTGTGAATAGTCACCTGGCTCAAAAGGTCTCACGATGGATGTGAAATGTTGGAAAGACATCGTAGGACACAGTGTTAGCCCACACCATCGATCACTCTTGCGGGGCAGATGACACAATTATCTCCCTCTCTCTGTCTTCCAGTTTATTAGTGCTGCCCAGAATATTTAACAGGGTAGAGAGCGCTCCTGTGGGATCTCATTTGCACAGGTGCCCATCTGCTAGGAGTTGTCTGGGATAATCTCCACATCATGTCACATTTGCATCATGAAAACGGCCCTGTAAAGGGGAACGCTAGGCACTGGCCAGTTTCGAGCGGCGAGGGATTGTTTGCCGACACTGTAGCTAAGACCAGTGTGTGCTGTACTAATCCACGAGGCAGTTAATGCAGCGCAATTATGTTAGGATTTAACATGTTTGTAATTGTTTGTTGGTTCGGCTCAATTTGTGTAACCAGCTTTAGTTGGAAAATTAGCAATGAGATTTTCCTAAACACTGCCAATTTGTTTGGTCTTTTAACCAGCGGGGGGTGGGATTTCCTTCATTCGGGCTGGAGTGCTTGTCAACTATGACAGTCTTATTAGCCGCTTTCACCAAAGAAAAGGTGCTCCTATTGAACCCATCGATCTTTAAGGACCTTTGCTTTTATTTCCCTCTCTTCAAATAGCACAACGTTCCCGAGAATCAATGTGTTCATCGACTCCTGTGTCCTGTCCTGTGAATTACTCGAGCAACAGATCCAATCTCAAAATCGCTGTCTCATTAATGACCCAAACAGGAAAGAAGTAAATGCCAAGCAGCTGCATCTTTACTTCTCATGTAACCGTGAAGCATCACTTTCTGAATCCCTACAAGGTTACACATGATAAAGCTCGACACAGATTGGTTTAGTATTTAAAGACGTGTTCCCAATAGAGGAGCAACACATATCACTATACTGCATACACCAGGCGTTAACATTAAGTGTTTATTCCACCGTGGATAAAAACGCCCCGGTATCTGAGTCCAGGCAAGCATATAGTCTTCAAACATTACAAGTGATCTTGCATTTTACTCCCATTCTCCCTTCTTTATGTATATGACCTGAGCAGTTGCAGTACATCAATTGCAGCAAGTAATTTTCTGGTAGCTCGCACTGTATCTGCTTAACGCGTGAAAACAAAACGCTCAATCAATCTTAGAGCGCTGTTGACATTCAAGGCTGTCGCTGCATGTTACCGACAGTGTCCCTTCCCCTTGTACACACACACATATACACACAGGGTTGGGTTGTAACGGAATACATGCAACGGCGTTACGTAGTCAGAATACACAAATCAAGTAACTGTATTCAGCTCGCGTTCCATTTGAAAAACGAGTAATCTGATTACAGTTACTTTCGTAAACCTGAAGTGAATACATTTTGGAGTTATTGGAATTATTGGTGGAAAGATTTCCTCACAACATTTAATATTCATTACTAAAGGTACAGCCGAATCATCACAGCGCACAAAACCTATTACCGCCGCAGATGGACCAAAAAGGGGAGCGTTTGAAAAAAAAAAGGGGCGGGTCCGCTCAGTGAAACGATAACAACGAAACATGGAGGAACAGAAGTCTGCGTTTAAATCGTGTGTGTGTGTGGTTAAAACACATCAGCCTGCGGTCGCTCTTAGCCTTTCTAGAGTCACAGACATGAATACATAGATCAAGGCAGACTGGTGCACACACTCTCCTGTTTTGCCGATCCGGTGCTTAAACAAATATAGCTCTACACCCCTGGCCGAAATGTCCTTAAAATGAAGTCCGCGTTCGACATTTTAATTCATGTCCTGCCAGCACTGGCAGGACAGAAGGCGACACGCCCGTTCTAAGCCGTGTCCCTCACTCCTCACATCCCAAGCTGCATCCCCAAAAAGTGTATTATGTTGTTACATCGTTTCAGATGTCATTTTTCAGTTGTGCTCTTGATAAGCCATTAAAACAGTAAAAACACGTTCAGTTTCCTTTTGCTTTTTGTGTCTCCTGTTCACCAAAACATACCCATCTGTGAAGGAAAAAGAAAGTCATCCAAAAGTAATCTAAAAGTAATCTGAATACGTTGTAAGACACGTAACTGTAACTGTATTCGGATTACTTTCAGAGCCATGTATTCAGTAATCAGTAACTGATTACATTTACAAAGTAACCCTCCCAACCCTGCATATACACTATATATAGTATTCATACACACACTTTGGAGGTAGGCTCGTCATGCATCACTGGCATTGACACTTGAATGTGTCTATAATTGTCTGGATTAAGGGTCATATGGGATATGATGGTGCAACATTCAGCACTAAAGAACAGTTTTAGCCCTTCTGAATTGTGGAAATAATTAATGTTTTTTTCCAGAGGAAGGCTTCTATACATCTGCCTTTGCTGCAGTTAGCTATTCATATGTAATCTAATGAATGAGACTTTGAGTGTATGTGAAACCGGAGCTGGACTGCTTGCATCTTTTGCTTGCTTTCTTCTGCCAAGACTTCATTATGATTTCTTATCTGATTCATTAACCTTTTCTTTTTTCCTTTCTGCAGGAACTCTACATACTGCATGAAGGTGTCCATGTCTCTCACGGTGGCAGAGAACGACACAGACCTCTGCTTCAACTCCAAAATGAGGTTCTTTGAGAAGGCCGAACTGAGCAAAAACAAAGACATCACCTGCCCGGGCATCGATGATTATGTACAGCCAGGAGCGCAGCCAGATATCGTGTGGTACAAGGTAACATGCACCCTTTCTCTCAAATAATAACCACTGATTTCATTTCCTTTAAAAGGCAGAGGTGCCCCGCTTTTGTCCGTCACCTGAAACCCATCACGCACATTAATAAAAAGCTTCTTTAAAGAAGAGTAACCTCGTTAAGGTCAGCTTCATTCAGATTTTAATGAACTTCAAGCACCGTGACTTTTGAAGCATTTATTAAATAAATATATATCTGACAGAGATTAATCTATTCACCGTGTACAGTCACATCTAGCTTTCTCTTACGCCCACAGTGTAACTGACCCGCGCAGACCTCCTCGTGTCCAACAGGCCACTTTGATAGAGCTGTTCGGCGGAGCTCGGGGGCCAATTCATCAAACGTTAAAGTGTGCTGGATTAGGTGGCCAAAAAGCTTCTTCAGTTTCCCATTGAATCAAATGAAAGTAGCAGATAATGACTGTGGGCTCCACACCCTCTGGTTATTGGCTCTCGCTGTGCCAGTGGGGGCTGATTTAATTCTGGGAGGCCTGTCTTGGACCACAGTTCGAAACCATCCCACAGTGGCCCAGTTTTCCTTTGCCTCAGGTGTTCTGTGGCCCTAAATCTGCCTTAAGACAGAAAACTGTAATGTGTGACAGCAGTGGACACAAATGACCATGATCTAAGGAATTTAACCATTTCAGAAGTGCTTTACGAGCTTTTAATGCTCAAGTATCCTCCTGTTTACATACAGTAGGTAACTGATTTCTATGGGGTTGAAATAAAGCTGTAGATGCTACTACTGTAAGAACTTATACATTAACTGAGTAATTCATTTAAGAGTAGCTGATGCAATTCAATCAAGATTAGTAGTCCTCCCTCAGAATGATAAACAGCCGTTCATCCCCCAAACATCTTTTTTAAAGAATGTTAGTGTGCACCAAGAATGCACCGAACAAATGTAAGCAATAACTCTTTTTACCATAGCTGTGTGGAAAGCTGCTCTTTATAAAAGCATGTTTAGTAAAATAGGTCTCTCTTTGGATTTATCTTCAATATGCCTTAAGTTCATACAACTAGAGTTTCATGTTAAATAAAAGCGTATTCCTGCCGATTTTTACACTTCAAACACTGCATTTTCTTTATTTTGACATTTTGTACCGTGTGTTTACATAATAAAGGAATGCAAACCAAAGCAGTGGAGACAAACCATAGAAAGGAAAAGGGACACTCTCTCCATCAAGGACGTACGGGAAGATGACATTGGGAATTACACCTGCGAATTAGAGTTTGGGAACTTTTTGGTAAGAAGGACGACTGAGCTGTCCGTCACAGGTAAGGAAGTCTCTCTTTAATGCTGCAAATCGTTTGATTGCAGAGTCATCTCCTGTTCATTTTGTTAAATTGTGTCTTAATGCAAACATATTTATATTGAATGCTTTTCAAAACTAAACTATTTCCAATACAGGATATTCTCCTTGTTGCTCAGGCCTATGTAAACATTGTCTATAACAAAAAAAAAGACTTTCTCGTTAAAGAATTGAAGGTTTTTAAAGCTGATCTGTGCACCTTTTCCCAAGGTGTCGCCCTCAACGGCGTCACTGTCTCTCTGTGACTGCTAGGGCCGCTTTAATTGCTAAGTAGTGGATTTCACATAGAGCCACATCCGCACTTTTTCTTAAGGCTGTTCAAATATTTAAGCTTGAACCTAAAGTGGGTGACAGATTGCCTCGCACTGACACCGCCACAGACAGGTTGACAAAGCAGGCGCTGTAGAGCAGGGAATTTTACGACTTCATTATACACTCCAATTCTTTTTAGGGTACCTGATTGGAAAATAGTTGTAGATGTTGCCCTGAGTTTTTCTTTAAATTAAGGATCAATATATTGACGTGAAGGGGCCCTTTAATGACAATTTTCAAGTTAATATTTGTATGTAGTGTCTCTACTGTGACATGTCTCCATGCTTTAATGTTCAAAAAGCTCTTTATTTTTCTCATACTGCCTGTGCTGCATCACCTCTTTTCACCCTCTGTCTGGAACCAGAGCCCAGTCTGATGTCAGGGAGTATGTGTGTGAGAATTGCAGACCACTTACATGCACAAAGCCTTTTAACCATAATACAGCAAAGGGAAAAACCCATTGATATGGCCTCTTTAATTTAGTATATCCACGTTCTTCCTATAGCACACGTTAAATGTGACCTGACATCATATAAATAACAGGAAGACCATGTTAAAGTCATATCTCTTACTCAATTTAAAAAGGACCTATAACTTAGAAAAGTGGAGCTCACATTCATTTGAGTAAAAGTTTTCTCAGGCTATTCAAACAACGACAGCTCCTCTCCGTCTTTGTGAGAGATTTGGCTGAGTTCGATTTTTATATGGTGACTTACGTCTGCAAGGATACGAACAAATGCCGGATAACGCAGACTGAAACAAACAGAGAGAAGTGGAGAGCTTTTGGATGGATACAGGGTTGCATTGTGGGCGTGAGGGTCAGACAAAGTGTTTGCTGTAACCGCGTCTTGATTACACTTTATAGTCTCCTTTAAAGACACGAAGACAGACTGCAGTGAGGGGCGAGCTAAGCCATAAATCATTTTCTCACCAGCCTCAAAATGTCATCCTGGGGGGACTAGTCTTAATCTCTCTATCTACTTTGGAGACATTAAGCATTTTAAAAGAGGTGGCAGAAGATGATTGATGATTGGGCCATGGCATTTATGGTTTTCTCAGAAAGTCTGTCTGGGTTTACTCCCACATCTAGTCGGTCTGTAGGTGTGAATGTGTCTCTTTTTGGCCTTTTGATAAACTGGCAACCTGTCGAGGGTCGATGGTACACTGCCTCTCGCCCAATGAATGCTGGGAAAGGCTCCGCTTTTCCAAACCTGCAATAAAGAAACAAAATATGGATATACATCGAGTTCATTTGATGTTTTTAGTGATTTTTACTTATAATTTCATGCAGAAAATATTGCAACCTTTCGGTTTAAGTCCACAGTTGAGGTTACACAAGTTGTTTTTACATTTTGAAGTATATTTTATTGAACTGGAAAAAGAGAGACCAAAGTTAACTCTCACTGTAAGTTACAAGATACCATTTCGCCTTGAGGTAACAAAGTGTACAGTGTTATGCAAAGTGTTACACAAGTCCTCATTGTTCTATTCTGAACTTGCAGTGCTTTTTAACTTTAGAGAGCAACGCCAGCGTTCATTCTCATTTTGGCCTGCTCTCCTTTAAGGCTGAATTCCTTCGATTGAAGACGTTTTGAGCTTTCGTACGTGGTGTTTTTCTTTCTTTTTTGCAGCCACGGAGGCGGTTCAGATCATGCTAACTACCCAATTATTTTTGATTTATTTTCTCTTTCTGTCTGCTGTGGCTGCTTCAGTGCACATGAAATCCTTAAAAGAAGGGAGATTTGTTCTTTGAAAGAACCCAGAAAATGTACATTTTGTTTTGATCTTTTCAATTTACTGGCTTTAACCAAACTTAATATTCTGACATATACTGATATTAATAGATCCAATGATTTCATAATGAATCCGTGTCCGCCAAAAGTTGTAATACACATTTATTGTGTGCAATAAAGTTAATGTTTAGGTAATTGTCAGCCATTTATCCCAATTGTATACCCTCTCAATTCCCAATACATCAAAAATATTATTAAATGGGATATGATACCACATCTGTTTGACCAATCACTGCTGGTACCAATTGAAATACCTTGAACTGAATTTATTTCACCTCCTGGTGAGCACAGATGTAAAAGGAGCGTTTCGCTAAAGGTGGAAGGCTAAGACGACAGAAGAATGTACTTTCTTTTTTAAATCTATATAATGTAGATATTATCCTCAACCTCCCACAGATATTCCAAACCCCCATCAAACCCCCTGTCCCTTCCCTCTTTATCAATACCACCGTATGACTCTCTCACAGCAGTGCAAAGGGACAAAAGGTCAGATTGTGTGTGATTATAATGAGCGCCACTAAAAACATCATGAGCTCTCTCGCCAGGTAATTGAAAGTGACATTCATTTCTAAATACATTTTGCGGTTTTATGACTTCCTTGTAAGGTGCGGCGTTTTATGTGTTATTACTATTACATTATTACATTGCATTTAGCTGACGCTTTTATCCAAAGCGACTTACAATAAGTACATTCGACCAGGAAGACACAACCTTGAAGAAAACAGAATCATATAAGTACATCAGGTTTCATAGAGCCAAACATTTCAAGTGCTACTCAACTGGCTTTAGATAAGCCAGTCCTTTATTAGTATATAAGTGCTTTGTTAGTAATTATTTGTTAGTAATTCTCTCGCTCGAAGTGGAGTCGAAAGAGATGAGTTTTCAGTCTGCGCCGGAAGATGTGCAGGCTTTCTGATGTCAATGGGGAGCTCATTCCACCATTTTGGAGCCAGGATAGCAAACCCACGTGTTTTTGCTGATGGGAACTTGAGTCCCCCTCGCAGTGCGGGTGCAGCGAGCTGTTTGGCTGATGCAGAGCGGAGTGCACGCGCTGGGGTGTACGGTTTAACCATGTCATGTTATATTAAACACAGTAGCATAAAGTGATGGCAGGGATGAAATAAAAAAATATAAATATATATACAGGGGAGTAGCACCGGTGGTGTGTAAAACAGTCAGTGTCGCTAATGAGCTGGAACCAATGCTGTTAACCTGCTTTACTTATTGAACCTGCACGCAAGGAGAGGTTGAGGAACAGAAAGGGGCGAGCATCTAAATAACTAATGAGAGGTTGAAAACAATCAAATTCCTCTTAAATTAGCTGATGCACTCATAATGTTTTATGAAGTCCTTATCAGGGTCTTGCTTTTTATTAAACATTATTGAGCTGGTTGGAAATGAAATGAAACCGTTTTGCCTCCTCAGCTCAACCACTGCTTTGAATGATGGGAGCTTTTCCCTTGATGTGTGTTTTCTGTTGTGCATTTTGTAAGCTCCAGGTATTTTCTGCAAATGTAGACAGGGAACAACAAAAGTCCAGGACAAGTTTTGAATATGACTTTAAAGGAGGGAACATCAATTTGCACAGGTGTTTGTCGGGAATGTAAATGAAGGACATTAGCTCTGATTCCTTTTTTGATACCCCTCGCCCTTCTTGGTAGTTATTTGGAGAGTATTTGGCATTTGCATATTGTGACTATAATATACTAAAGCTCATAATCCAGATAAAGAAACCCAAATAACTTTTGTTCTACCTCCCATCTTTATTCGTTGGCCAATAATATGTGGATTTGTATGCAGTTAGACAGAATAAAAGGTGAAATAGATGTTGATAAAAACATCAATGCATAGCGTTTGCTCTCATTTAATGTTCCTATGTTTTCTACTTTTCTGTTTTAGCTAGACAACTTGACAGCAGGCTAGTGATTCTACCAGACTGTGATCATAACACACTTTGGGCATCAGAGGTTAAGGGGTACACTTTTGTTTGTTTTTCAATATTAGATGTACCTATAATATATGCAATGCTGTCACAATGATGAATGCTGTTAAACCTGAGGCACATTGATTTTGTATGCTTCAGTATAAGGAGCACCAAATGACTCTAGATTTGTGATTACAAATACATATGGCTTGTTTTGATGATACGTGGACCAGTGGTGGAGTTTAGTTAACTTTAAATATGTTTTCAGTATTAAATCATTATGAACGTATTTGGCAGGTAACAGGTCCTCTCTATCCTTGTTAAGATTAACACAGTGTTCCTCTTCAATATGGCCCTTCTGCCTCTCGTACACCTCTATTCCTTACGGTAGATCTCCTGCCAGCACCATTCGGTGGCCATTACACATTTCCTCTCCCATCCCGGAGTTGACTCATTACCATATGAAGGAGGTTGGAATATAATTGCCCCTTTTAATGGATGGAAGATAATTAAACTGACCACGGTGCTGGTGGAAAAAAGAAGAGCATGCACTGAGTGGATTCAGAAAGTAATCCTTTTTTCTCCTGGTGAATCCACCTGCTCATTGGGTACTCAGTGGGGGCTTGATGAGGTTTTAGTAGAGTTTAGTTTGCATTTATCATTTCCTTTGATATTATGTCACTTTAATTGGGAACATACTTTTAAGATAAGAAGCAGCTCGTCAGTATTCTGTAAATCTCATTGAATTTGAATTAATTGTCTGCTTCTTTGGCCAATGGTGCATTACTGCATTTAACTCTTAGAGACTTGTTATTCTTTATAGCATGGCATTTTGTTTTAATAGTTTTAGCTATTAATTGTGCATATACACTATATGGATGTTCCCAACAAGAAATAGACATAGATAGTTAAAGGATCTTAATGCTATGTTTGTTT